CTCCTCTCCGTTGTCTCCTCCTCTTCCTCCTCCTCCTCCTCCGGACCCCGCCCGCCCACCTCTGATCTGTTCTCCCGTTTCCTTCCCTCCGTCTTTGCTCAGTTTACCCATGCCCCCTAACCCTGACTTTGCTGACCCTGATATTCTTTAACGTGCTCTGTTGCTCTTTCGCCTTTGTTTCTTCCTTGTTCTCTGTTGTTGTCCTTTCTCTTCTCATCGTTGTCCATTCTTCAATGGAACGTTCGAGGTTATTACGCTAATTTCCTCGAACTCCAACTTCTGATTTCGCGGTTTTCGCCCCTTTGTGTCTGTCTCCAGGAGCCGATGCTTGGTGCTCGTCCTGGTCGTTTTCGTGGCTATTCCTTTCTCTCCCCCCCTCCCCCAGCCATTGCTGGGGCTTCTAATTCTTCTGCTCTTTTGATTCGTGCTGATGTTCCCTTTGTTCCTTTACTTTTTCCTTCACCTCTCCATTGTTCTGCTGCTCGTGTCTTTGTGGGGAAATGGTACACTGTTTGTTCCGTTTATCTCCCCCCGAGTGTCCCGCTTTCTCTTCCTGATTTGAAACACCTCCTAGACTCCTTGCCGGAGCCTGTGCTCCTGCTGGGTGACTTCAATTGTCGTCATTCTCTTTGGGGTGACGTTCTGACGAATACCCGGGGTCGCCTTCTTGAGCCGTTTCTCCTCTCTTCTTCCCTGTCTCTTCTGAATTGTGGTGAGCCCACTCATTTGGACTTTCGGACTCGCACCCATTCTTGTCTTGATCTTTCTCTCTGCTCTTCTTCTCTTTACTTAGATTTCACGTGGCAGGTTCTTGATGACCTCCATGGAAGTGATCATTTCCCCATCCTTGTTTCCTTTTTCTCTTTTCGCCCTTCCCTCTCTTTCCCTAGGTGGCAGTTTGCTAAGGCGGACTGGACCCTATTTTCCCTCAGTGCTACTCTCTCTGACCTCTCCCTTCTGCCTCTCTCTCGCGCTCTCCTCCTTTTTCATGACACTGTCTTCAACGCTGCCCTTCGCTCTATCCCTCGCTCTTCCTCCCGGGGTCCACGGAAGTGCGTTCCCTGGTGGAATGCGGACTGTGCTCGGGCTGTCCGCTGTAAACGTGCAGCCTGGAAGAGGCACCGCCGTAGGCAGACGACCGATTCTTTTCTTTTCTTTCGGAAAGCGAGTGCGGTGCCCCGTAGGGCCATCCGTACGGCTAAACGTGAATGTTGGGCATCTTATGTCTCAACAATTACGTCCGAAATCCCTCTGGCCCAGATCTGGAAGCGTATCCGCAAGATAGCGGGTAAGTTCGTTCCCGATGTTTCACCGGTCCTTCACCTCCATGATACTCTTGTGGCGGACCCGTTGCAGGTCGCTTCCGAACTGGGTTCCCACTTTTCTTCTGTTAGCTCTGGTCTCCATCTTCCCCAATCTTTCCTTCTTCGTAAACCTGTCCTTGAGTCTCGTCCTTTAGATTTCAGCACTCATCTTCAGCTTCCCTATAATGATCCCTTCTCTCTCTCTGAACTTCGTTCTGCCCTGGCCCTCTGCGGTTCTACGGCGGCGGGCTCCGATGGTATTCATTATGAGATGCTTCGCCATCTCCCTCCGAGCACGTCTCAGTATTTACTGAGTCTGTATAATCGGATCTGGGAGTCGTCGTCAGTCCCTGAGGACTGGCTCGATGCCGTTGTCCTCCCTGTTCGCAAACCGGGGTCTCTGGGTACTTCCCCTAAGGACTTTCGCCCTATTGCTCTCACAAGTTGTGTCTGCAAACTCTTTGAACGTATGGTTAACGTTCGTCTGATGTGGTTCCTGGAACACCATCACCTCCTCTCCCCTTCTCAATTTGGTTTCCGCAAGTGCCGCAGCACGACAGATGTCCCGGTGAACTTGGAGGTCTATATTCGTACTGCTTTTGCTGCGAAGACCTCCGTTGTTGCCGTCCTTTTTGACCTGGAAAAGGCTTACGACACCACTTGGCGTTATCATATCCTATCTCAACTTCATTCTTTTGGCCTTCGTGGTCATCTCCCTCTCTTTCTCCGCAGCTTCCTCTCTCGTCGTTCCTTTCGGGTGCGCCTTGGTACCACTCTCTCTCCCTCTTTTCAGCAATACGAAGGTGTGCCCCAGGGTAGTGTTCTGAGCACTACTCTTTTTGTGGTTGCCCTCAATGGTCTTCTTTCCTCTCTTCCTTCTGGTGTCTTTTCCGCTCTCTATGTCGATGATCTTACCCTTTGTTGTCAGGGTGATGATTCGCCTCTCCTTCAACGCCGGCTTCAACTTGCAATTGATGCCGTGTCGTCTTGGGCCACAGATCATGGCTTCAAGTTCTCTACTTGTGCCATGACTTTTACGCGGAAACGGGTTGTTCTTCGTCCCTCTTTGTCCCTTTATGGTCATCCCCTTGAATACAAAGATTCCGCAAAGCTTTTGGGGTTATTCCTTGACACTCGTTTGTCTTGGTCTCCCCATATCTCTTACCTCCGTGTTGAGTGCTCTAAGGCCCTTACCCTCCTTCGGGTCTTGTCCCATACTTCTTGGGGGGCAGATAGGCGCGCACTCCTTGCTTTACATTCCTCTCTCGTCCTGTCTAAGCTCGATTATGGTTGCCCTGCTTCTCCTTCTACTCTTCGCCGTCTTGATGCTTTGCACCATACTGGGTTGCGCCTCAGTTCTGGTGCCTTTCGTTCGACTCCCATCCTTTGCATGTATGTTGACACTGGCTTCCTGTCTCTCCAGGACCGCCGTGCTCGCTACTGTCTTCGCTATCTTGCGCGGTCCTTGCAACATCCTTCCTCTCGCCTCTGTCGTGCTTTAACTTTTACCCCTCCTGCGGTTCCTGTTCCTCTTCACCACCTCCCTCTTTCTGTCCGGTTATCTCGCCTACAGGATTCTCTTTCCGTTCGTATTTCTGATGTTTCTCCTCGTGTTGTTCCTTCTTTGCCCCCGTGGAGGGTCCCTCTTCCGCGGTTTTGTACATCCTTGACCTGTATCACTAAAGCTTTTACCCCTCCTACGGTTCTAAAACGCCTTTTCCTCGAGCACTTTTCTTCTCACTCCCGCTCCGTTTCTGTCTTCACCGATGGGTCTAAGTCAGCGGACGGTGTTGGCTGCTCTGTTGTTTTTCCTGATCGCACTTATATGTGTCGCTTGCCTCCGGAGACTAGCATCTTTACAGCGGAACTTTATGCTGTTCTCTATGCTCTTCGTCTCCTGCTTTCTCGTTGTCAGTCTTCCTTTGTAGTTGTTGTTGACTCGTAGTGCCCTCATGGCTCTCGGGTCCTTTAATCCGGTTCATCCAGTAGTTGTCGAGATCCAGCATTGGCTGTTTCTCGTTCACAGTAAATTTAAGTGGGATGAGTTTTGTTGGGTTCCCAGCCATATTGGTGTGTCTTTAAATGAGTGTGCGGATGCTGCCGCCAAGGAAGCTGTCTGCTCTTGTCCCATCTCTCGTAACGGCATTCCGACTTTTACCCGGTTATCCATTCCTCAGTCCTTACCCGTTGGCAGGCTTCTTGGTTGTCCGTTACTGGTAACAAGCTACGTACTCTTAAATGTTGTGTTTCCTCGTGGCCGTCCTTCCACCGTAACCGGCGGTGGGAAAGCGCTCTGGCGAGGTTGCATATTGGCCATACTTGCTTAACCCATGGTCACTTGATGGAACGCCGCCCTGCTCCTTATTGTCCTGGTTGCATTGTCCCTCTTACGGTCGTGCATGTCCTTCTTGAATGTCCTGACTTCCAGGACGAGCGTGTCTTGCTTTCCGACTGCCCCTCGATAGAATTCTTGGTGACTCGGATACTTTTAATATCGTTCGCCTTATGCGTTTTTGTTATCGTATTGGCATCCTTGGTGATATTTAGCGCCCTCTGATTATTTTGCGCATTTGATGGTGCTACATAGCCTTCCCGGTTTGGTGCCTTCTTTTGATAGTTACTTACTTATCCTTTCTACCATTTATTCTATGTGCCTGGTATTTCATTCCTAGTGTTTCATATGGTGCTTTAGCAAACAAAGTACTTGTGTACCAATAGTCTTGTGCGAATAGCTGGTTATCTTTAAAAAAAAAAAAAAAAAAAGAGTTCATTTTTTAACAAACCATTTTGTTGATTTTACAAGACTATGAATGAATCTCCCCTTCAGGACCTTGCAGATGTGAGGTTAAAGTAATCAGAATTTTTCTGCTTGGCAGTTTAACAAATTTAAGTGACATTTGTAATCCAGATAAAGTTGAGAATAGCTTTGAACCTATATAGTGAGTTTAAGTGGCAATAAGTTTGAATGGAAAGTTCATTTAAGAGCTTAGATTGAATTCCAGGTATCTGAAGTTTTTATAATTTTAGTTTGAAAAGCTCTTCCCATTTATGGTGCTTGTTACAGGCAGTGTATGTATACACTATCTTTAAATAGTTATAATCAGCAGCTTGAAACATTTGTGGTAATGGATTGTCTGGCATGTGAATTTAGTGTTGATTCCAAATATTTGGTAGACATTTCATAGTGCAGCAAATATTAACACAGATTGGACATTTCTAAAGATATTTTATTTTCTTAGACTAGTAGAAAATTGTAGTGTTTGGTCTCATTTGATATTGTCCAGCATTAGACAATATTGTTAGCAAGTATGAAAGTTGTATAGTTTCCTGTAGTTTTAATACATAATGTGATTACTATAATGGGCTAAGGTGTGACATTAATGTGCCTTACTAAAACTAAATTTAGTTTTTTTTCAATCTTGCCATTGACAAATTTTTACATAAGCTATGCAACATCATTGATAAGTGGAAGTTTAGCCCATACATTTGTTTTAGAAGTGAAATTTGGTAGTTAAATAAAATTAAAAATAATTTATTTATAATATAACACCTACCAATTAGCCAATAATTTTCACTTTAGTAAGTTATTTATAAATGTCAGAAGTTCTTTAGATGTTAGACTTTGCATCAGGAATAATCAGTAATTTCCAGCATGATAGAATCATTGTTAATTTCAGGATAAAGTACAGTATAAAGTAGTTTCATTAGAATATTTATTGCATAGTATACAGTGTAACATCTAATTTTGACTATTGTCCATTTCAGGTTGTGGGAAGCTGCTCCTCCTAGATGCAATCCACTGAAGACTCCAAAAGGACAGGGAAAACACCAGAGTAACAAGGACAACATCCACCTGTAAAAGAAAAATAAAGTATATCAAACAGGGACACTCATTTTATTAACACTAACACCTATCTATAAGCACCAAAACCCCTAAGTCCCAATCTTTTAAGATTGGGTCAGCAAGGCCTACCCCTTACTTGTATTGTGAGGCAGGACTTGTTGGCTGAAGGAGTGCATCACATCTTTTGGTTTAGCACCCTCAACATGATGTACATAGGCTTGTTGTGAAGCCTATGTACATCATGCTCCAGGCACTAAACCTCTGGATGTATCCACTCTTTCAGTGAACAAGCCCTGTAGTTATTAACAATGTTTGCACATTGTTAAGGGTCCCTACACCTATGCAATTCTAGTCCATCTATTGGATGGGTAGTAGAGCAGGGCTCTGAAAAAGCCAAGCCAGGAAAATCTGCAGGACTGCCTGGTCCCCTTCTATGAAATGGGGTAGGATCAGTACAAACTGCATCAATCCCTGCAGGTGGTAACAGTAGGACTTTGGTACACATCTATAAATGGACTAGATGAAAAAGTAAATTAATTATTTGATATAGCTAAAACATGTAATTCAACATACCAGTTTATTGGATGTGTGGAGTAGAATAGCCTCACTGCTTTGGTACCATTGTAATCTTCATTATCACCTGAAACACATTTAACCAAATTACCTTATAAATTCTGTATTGGGCTAATTTTACTTTAGTCACTTTGAAAATTCACAATGGATAATGTTCATTTAATCTTACAATATTAACATTTTAGTAGATTTTGTCACTAATGCTTATCAAGCAAAAAACATTGACATTAAACTTAGTTTGAGTAGCCACAAGTACATCAAAGTGGAGAACAATACTTCAGACTTTAATGGCAATTTTTAATTTACATTATCTACATGCAACCATCATTTCAAATTATCTTTACCTATAATGCTAGATTGTTTAAAACAATGCTTACCACACACCTTATTCTGAATGTCATGCATTCAACATTGTCAAACTCCAGGATGTAATTCTGCACTTCCCAATCCATATTCTGAAAGAAAAAGTCTATTTAAACTTCAATTACATTAAAAACATGACAGTTACCAGTTAATAATTTTTTACTTGCAGTTATGAACATATCCTTTTAAGTTAAACATTTTTATGAACAAATCCATGAGGGTTCAAACCTATATCCAACTGCAGGAGCCATGAGTAAGTAATTATCAAAAGGCACCAAACCAGGAATGCTAGAGCCATGAGGTCAGTAAGCCTCCCAGTCAATTCGTTTACCTTGTCATGGCACAGTCAACTATGGTACATGTGCAATCTTCACACATTTGAACCATCACAGCCCTTGTGGATTTGTTCATTTGAGATCACTCAAATTTATAGATCGCAAACCTTTAGCCAAGTAATTAAAAACCAAACTAACCAATTACATTAAATATTTATATACCTTTCAGATTTTATTCCATTTAGGAATTAACACTTTACATTTGAAATTTTCTTTATGCTATTCAAAGAAATTCCTGCAAGGACTAAACTGATATTGTACCCCACTTGTCAAGGCCTAGAACTAGTTTATTTTCCCATTTCAAGGCCCCTTCACAATTACACAATTTTTTACCTAAATATTTAAAAACTAATTAAACTAATTATATCAGTAAACTTACTTTTACCAACTAATTCTCACAACTGCTATTTTCTGTAGCATAACTTTCACCAATTGTTCTGTACACCATCCCTGAAATTATGTTGGAAGGACCCTCCACAACCTGTCAATGAAACATTAAATTGGTTAAAAAATTGCTGTGCAATGAAAATAATTTTTAAACTTCAATATTTGCCTTTTTAAAACTACACTAATAAATTAGCTACTTCCCCGACCATCTTTCATTTATAAATTATAAAATAAAACCCTTTCAAGTAAAAATTAAAGGCAGGCTACTGAAATTTTATTTTCAAAACAAATTTATAGTTAAGATTTCCCCCCCCCCCACCATCCCCCATATTGGTACAGCAACTGATACAGCTAAAACTAATTCAACATTCCAGCTTCATAGATGTGCAGAGTAGAACAGCCACACTTCAAGTCAGTCAATGCTTGGATACCATTGTAATCTAGAAAAGCACCAGACACATTTAACCAAATTAGCTTCTAAATTCCATATTGGGGTTATTTTACTTTTGCAAATTTACACAAATTCACAATAAATAACGTTCCTTTAAAATCTACAAAAATGTTAATATTGTCAGCTTCTCACTAATGCTAATCAAGCAAAAAAAATTAGTTTGAGTAGCCATTAAACTGGAGAAACACACTTCAGACTTTCATGGCAATTTTTACTTTACATTATCTATATGCAATCATTCAGATTATCTTTAGCCATAATGATAGATTTTAACTTTACTATTTAATATAATGCAAATCTGTTTAAAATACTACCACACCTGATTCTGAATGTCAATTGACACCTTCAACTCCAGGAATGTAGTTTAGGACTTCCCAATCCATGTTCTGAAAGAAAAAGCCTATTTAAACTTCAGTTATATTATGAAAAGATCAAGTACAGTTACCAGTAAATTTGTATTCTGTAACTTTTTACTTTCAACTTTGAAATTATCTTTAACTTAAAAACATTTAGATGAACAAATCCATGAGGGTTGAAACCTGGAGCCATGAGGTCAGTAGACCTCCCAGTTGCAATTCTTTTACCATGTCATGGCACAGTCAATTAAGGTTCATCTGCAATCCTCTGACATTTGAACACAGCCCATTCAGATCGTTCATTTGATGCATCACGCTTGTTAAATTTATATATGATACAAACTTCTAGCCAAACAATTAACTGAACTGAAAATTAAGCAGACAAATTTACATTTAAATATAAAATTATAAATAAACTACTTCAGATTTTATTCAATTTAAGAGTTAACACCCAACTTCACAAGTGAAAATTCTTTGCGCTATTCAAAGCAATTCCTCCAACGAGTCTAAACTGATATTGTACCCCGCTTGTCAAGGCCTAGAACTAGTTTATTTTCCCATTTCAAGGCCCCTTCACAATTACATATTTCACCTAAATATTTAAAAACTAGCTATTAAACTAATTATATCAGTAAACTTATTTACCAACTAATTCTCTCAACTATTTTCTGTAGCATAACTTACCAATTTTTCTGTACACCATCCCTGAAATTATGTTGGAAGGACCCTCCACAACCTGTCAATGAAACATTAAATATGGTTAAAAAATTGCTGTGCAAAGAAAATTATCTTTAAACTTCAATATTTGCCTTTTTAAAACTACAATAAATTAGCTACTTCCCCGACCATCTTTCATTTTTAAATTCTAGAATAAAGCCCTTTTAAGTAAAAATTAAAGGCATGCTACTGAAATTTTATTTTCAAACAAATTTTTAGTTAGGATCCCCCACATCCCCCATATTGGTACGGCAATTTATATAGCTAAAACTAATTCAACATACCAGCTTCATAGATGTGCAGAGTAGAACAGCCACACTTCAAGTCAGTCAATGCTTGGATACCATTGTAATCTATAAAAGCATTAGAAACATTTAACCAAATTAGCTTATAAATTCTGTATTGGGCTTATTTTACTTTTGCAAGTTTACACAAATTCACAATAGATAATGTTCCTTTCAAATTACCAAAATGTTAATATTGTCAGCTTCTCACTAATGCTAATCGAGCAACAAAAATTAGTTTGAGTAGCCATTATCCAAGTTAGAGTACATTAAACTTGAGAAAGATACTTCAGACTCGTGGCAATTTTTTCTTTACATTATATGCAATCATTCAGATTATCTTTAGCCATAATGAGAGATTTTAACTTTACTATTTAATATAATGCAAATCTGTTTAAAATACTACCACACACCTGATTCTGAATGTCAATTGACACCTTCAAACTCCAGGAATGTAGTTTAGGACTTCCCAATCCATGTTCTGAAAGAAAAAGCCTATTTAAACTTCAGTTATATTATGAAAAGATCAAGTACAGGTACCAGTTAATTTGTATTCTGTAACTACTTTCAATTATGAAATTATCTTTTTAACTTTAAAAAATTTAGATTAACAAATCCATGAGGGTTGAAACTTGGAGCCATGAGGTCAGTAGACCTCCCAGTTGCAATTCTTTTACCATGTCATGGCACAGTCAATTAAGGTGCATCTGCAATCGTCTGACATTTGAACACAGCCCATTTAGATTGTTCATTTGATGCATCACGCTTGTTAAATTTATATACGATACAAACTTCTAGCCAAACAATTAACTGAACATTTAAAATTAAGCAGACAAAATTTAAATATAATTTTAATTATAAATAAACTACTTCAGATTTTATTCAATTTAAGAGTTAACACCACTTCACAAGTGAAAATTCTTTGCGCTATTCAAAGCAATTCCTCCAACGAGACTAAACTGATATTGTACGCCACCTTAAGAACCGTCAGTATAAAGTGTGTTCAGCGACGAAAGGACGAGTGATAAAAGGGGTCCCCCCTCACTCTAGACAGGCGATTATACCTCCCAAAACACCCATGCATCAAAAGAGAAGTCAAAGAATAATCAAGACTGGCAAAAGGTCAGCAGGAAATGATTAGTTGGAAATGAGAAGAGGGGTTAGAAAATTGAAACTAAAAGTTAAAGTGTCTAGCAAAATTGGCGAAGACAGCAACAGGAGCACAAGGCCTCTAAATGACAGGACTGACCCCATGGAGCATCATTCCAGCAGCTGCACACCAAGCCCCCTCCCTCATGACAAGCAAGAAAGGGTTGGGGTTAGGGGGGGGGGGGACCTCATTTAGTAGACAACTTGCCATGACTAATATCTACAGGATGGGCAGTGACAATCTATACAACATTAATGTTCTATTCACATTTTCAACTTTTAGCTTACATACACCTACATTAAGTACCCCAATATACCTTTACTTTGGATAAGACTTCCTACAATGCCTTCAATACTTTAAAATTGATGTTGCCGACTATTAGAAATGGGTAATTTCTAAGAATTACATTTCAACTACCTTCAAACGAACATTTGCTATAACAAAATACTTCTAAAATTAATATAACCACCCTTTCACCAAGCTATAATCATTATTCTCAACAATATAAACTGGTATTTATCAATAAAAAAATTAACAGTATTAAGTATACAGCGTTTATAATAAGTATTACAAGTGTATAGTATTATAACTACAATATTTGCCAAAACATTTATTCAACTTGCAGGCTTCAATGCAACAGGAATCCATCTTATCACAATGTGGAGCGGTGATTATTTCTTCAATCCCACGCACCACACTATGGCTTAAACAACTACATCAAAGTGTGGGGAAAAATTACCTTGCATCACCTTGTTGCACATAAGGAAGGTCAACTGCCCACGACACCCATAAATTTATTATCTAGTAATGCAAGTCTATTAGTCTCAAGACAGATGGTGCCAAGAATATTAAGTATTCTAAAATGGCCAAAAAGCTTGTTTTAATAAACGTAGAGAACAGCTCTCGTACCATGATTCTTCACTATTTACAATAAGCGACAACATCAACCAACATAAGAGGCCATACCCAAAGTTATATGCTACTACCAACAAATACATTACAGGGGTCATTGCAGATAATGCATCTCCACCCATCAAGAGAAAATCCAAATAAATTTATGTATACATACTATTAATTTATATTAAACTAATATTCATAAACTGCTTAAGTGCATAATTTTAAAGTAAAAGTATAACATTAGAAAATTTTAGAAACGTACAATAAGCTTAAATACAATAGGCAAGTATACAATTCTAAAATAATTACCATATATTCTTAAATTACTGACCATGTAAGGAAAAGTTCCAAGAATCTAGTAACAATGCACTGATCAATATCATTTAACAGCTGGTGCCATTGTGTGCAATGAACATTTTACCACAAATTATTTCTATTATGCAACATACTAGCTAAAAAATATACAACTATCATCAAGGACAAGTTATACATTCCCATTTTCCTCATCCAATGCATAACCTAAGACCCACCTATGTACTTGATAATAGCATATGGACTTCATAGTAGAGACTATTTAGCCTGTATATCGAGTAGAGAATTACAGTGGCCAGTCTCCCATAACAAGCAATATAAGTTTACCTGCTAACAAATTAATACAGCATCCCAGAGCTTGGGTGTCACCTCATGACTTTCAAATTGCCCTTTTTATCTATTCCAATAGGTATGGCCACTGTTCAACTTTCTGGAAATATTAACTCAAATTCTAACATCCAACAAGATTCTGGACCATAATTATTAAACTGCAGTACCACACATTTTACACAACTAGTGTTAATTATTGATAATTAACTTACTAAAATTAATACTAAATTTTATAAACATGTTTGCTATCTATGCCAAGATACTAGATTATAAACCTAACTGTCATGGCCTTTAAGACTGGACAATATGTTAATGCTAAATTACAATAAGCACAACCTACAGCCTTTAAAATATTCCAACAAATATACATTTCATTATCTATTTACAACTTTTCCTGAAGCTGGAATATGCACCTAATGATGCCAATCTTAGGAAACTAGTGCAAAGACTTCCAATATAAAAAGCTTTTTAGCATAATTAATAAAACTAGATTACACAACATGGTATCCGATTGACTAAAATTATCTACCTAAAACTACCAAAGCAATTCTAATTTTATCCAAATTTAAAGAAACTAATAATTGCCTACTTTTGTAATTACTTTCAGGGAAATGTTATAGAATATATTCACCATGTAGAAAGTCTAGACAATTTCTCACTACCCTCAGACAAGGAACAATAACGGCAAGTTTGAAGCACCTTTGTGATTAAATAGATAATATTTAAGTATTATGGGAATAATAGCTTTCCCAAGTATCATTCGCACCTATAATGAAATACATTATGTGGATTGTACAGGTAATTCAACCTAGTAACGAAGCAAAGCCTCCTGGAACATGTCCAGCATATAAAAATCTGAACCTACTGAAGATTCAAATTCTGCAAGAAACTAAAATATCCCAAAGTACACTTTAGAACCTTAATAGCAATAGAAGGGCATCCAACATGGCAGAAGACTGACCAAATACATTTTGACCAAACCACATACTAGATGACGATGACCAGTATCATCACTGGCTCCACCTTAACGTATCTTCTAATCAATACATCAAACATTAAATTCACTATTCAACTTTATACACAATTTATATTTTAAGCAGGTGTAGGAAATGAATTTAGAGACCATAGTAAGAGATACAAGGGGAAAAACCCGAAAGATTCTAAAGCCACAGGTGTGGACATTTAAAAGTAAAGTTAGGGACACTTTCCATGAAGTGCCTCTAGACCAACTAATACTTCCCTAGATTGGAATTTTGCAGATGTTCCTCCCATTTATGCAGGCCACAAGTAGCACAGCAGAAAAGCTGCATCCAATCTAGTCTGCTTTTGGAATCTTTTCAGATTCAGTCACCATTTTGATTAAATATTTAAAGAAATGTAGTTTGTGGGGGGGGGGGGGGGACCAAAAAAATTATATGAACAAGGCTGTCATGCAAACTTTGCAAATTAACCACCTAATAAAGTACTTCCAGCAACTGCATACATGGATTTTTTAAGGGACCATTATATTAGTTTATTGTAAAAGTTCAATGTCGACCAATATTTTTTTGGACTTATATGAAAAGAGATGCAACAGTTCAAAGTTTCATTACTGCAGCCTAAATAGAAAGATTTAATTTCTCTTTAACGAATATTACATTTTCAAGTGTATATACAACCACACGTTTCAGATAATCATTCTACGACTTTTCTAACATGACCATATGAAGGATATGAAGTTGGGTTTTTCCAACACTTTCAGTTTTCCTAATACAAATAGTCAAAGTGCCCCCCAAAAATATGCAAATTTAACACTTGCTATTATTAAATCAAATTAACTTTGTGAAAAAATGCCAACTACAGATTTTAGACACTAAGGTGTAAGTTTCATGTAAATTTATTCAAAAATGAAAGTTATGAACATTGTTATTTAAACAAAATAAAGTAAGGTGCTGCCATCTGTGGCAGAGGTTGACAACCAATTTCCTGGACCCCTTGGCACCCTTACAGATAGGCTTACATGCCATCAGGTGTACAAGTTTCATGCAAATTCTAAAATAAACGAATTTAAAAAATCTTTACAACAACTAATTTTTTTTAATATAGGCTGTTGTGATAGCCAGTCAGACATTTCAGTCGACACCATTTTTTCTGATTTTTTTTTTTTTTTTTACACCAAATTCAATATTTCTCTATTCTATGATGCCGAGATTGACCAGATTAAACCCTTTCCATATACAAAGGGTCAAAAAAGTGAAATTAACCATTTTGAAAAACATACCTAATGGACCCATTAAAGCTTTTCACAACCTACCACACAACTGGCAAGGAAACTAAGCACAACTTGCATTAATCTCGTTCACCCAACTAATACCACAGCATGGACACCGATTTTATCTACTTTAGACGATATTTAATACCAGCCAATAATTCATTCTTTATGAAACCGACATTAGTAAAAATGTTACAATGCAAGCTAGATAGGATGCTATCCATGTCTTCACAGAAAATTGATCAATTTGCAAAACAATGTCAAGATAAAGTTGAATGCAACATTGAATCAATGGTTTAAAGAGAAATACTAATGCAGAACAAAAGATGCTTTTCCCACCCACTATTATCCAATGGAAGTCCCACTAAAGCCATAAATGCCAAGTTAAGCTGCTGTTTAAGATAAAGCTTTACAAGCTAATGAAGTGGAAAAGGGGGGGGGGGACCTGTGAAACTGTCAATAGGGGGGAGGGGGGGGGAGAGGGTCAGATTATCTACCTTTTACATGTTAGTGTAGACCTTCCTCCCCACGGGATCTGGGCCTTGTCCACTCCGACGTTGTCCAGAGCTGGTGCCGGCTGCTGGTTATAAAGTGCCATTCATTACTTCAGGAAATTACTTCCTCAATCTTCGCCATAGGGTACATCTGCTCAGGACCTCGCTACCATGTTGGGAGGCAGTTGAAGACTAGGCAGTCGACACCCTGGGCTGGAGAGCTGTAGCAGCCAAAAGAGTATTTACCACCTGCAAATACAATTAAAGGGTTAATATAGGACAAGAACAAAAATGCAGTAAATTTTAGGAATATTTGCAGAATTAATGCAGGACAAAATTTATGAGAATTTCTTAAATACCTTTAAAAGAGGATTTTAAAGTATTTTTAACAAGTTTTCAACTGGGCAGCAGAAAGCAATGTTTTTAATAGTTAAATTACCAGTACTGTACTTTGGTATGGTAATAAAGTCAATTACAGTACAAAATTTATCTACAGTAGGAAAGCAACAATTATGGAAATTATGTTTAGACCTAATTTTTAAAGCATATACAATTCAACTATAATTACATAATAGTATACCATGAATGATAATTTAACAATCAAATCTAGGGATACCACCACTATGCTCATAATATTGGAGCACTGTCTCCCATCTATATTTCTAAGATTTTAAAAAAGGAAGCAGAAACCTATTCCCACTTCCCCTTTTTTCAAGGGGAACAATGCTTTAAAATTACAGGCTGTATGCCTGCAATTCAAGAATACTGCACACGATAGCATAAGCAGCCTCATAGCTAAGTGGGTAGAGCACAGATCCAAACAAGGGGCCAGCCTACAAAATGTAGACTGCTAACAATAAGTAGCCCATGCAGCACCACTTATTTATGAAGATAAAGCCACCCAAGAGTTGGCATGGACATTAATAGCCAAGAATAGAATACAATTTAATCAGTAGCCTATAAACTGCATGCCAGTCCTGCTCAAAGTTAAATACTCACAGGCAGTGGTGCCAGCCAACATTGGCAGAAGCCATACCCAATACTAACATTTCACTGCAAATTGTCTTTCACCCTTTGCTCTACACCCATATTTTTCACTGGATTTGACAAGTAGAGGCAAGACATTTTATAAAACAATGTAGATTTTAGTTCTTAACATGGCAAGGGAGCATGTTATCTGCAGACAATTACCCTACTTAGTCATTTAGAGTAGAGTAATAAACTTGGAGGACAAGAGGAACAGGAAATTAAATTTTTGAAAGAGCTGCTGTAAGCTAGATTACCAAGATTAAAGTTTTGGTATGGTGAGGCAACACCTATTTAACTCTTCAGTCAACAGCATAGTTACATTATCAACTTCGGCTTTCAATGAATTGCATTATATAAATTTTCTGGTTAATAAGCCATATTGGCGTGTGATTAAAACTTTAGGTCTAAGCAGGTTAGAACAAAAATAAAGCTAACTGCAGAAGGGCTGTTCGCCCATACAAGGCAGCTCCTTATATCCTTCCAATCTCGTATTGAAGATTTAACCTACAGTTTAAAATCTAGGCATCCCACTTGCACAACGTGACGCAGTAACTGGTTCCACCAAACAAACCTATTACCAAACAATGTTCACCCAGGTCTTTCCTAAAGCTGAAGTATCATTTATACCCTTTGTTTTGGGTTATATCTTGTGTATACCCTCAATACCCCATTGATATTCCCTTTGTTAGGACCATTTGTCCACTTTCACACTTATCGTGTCACCAATTCTTTACCTTTTTAGAGGCAGGCATTTAAGTTTTTTCAATCTTCAAATAGGTTTCCAATTTGCGGGATTAACTTTCGTCATCCCATGTTGGATGCGTTCCATTTTATAGCCATGATCCCATTTGCCTAATGAACATTTATGCATTTTTATCACCATAACTGATCCATTTTGTAATAAACACCATCTAGCTCGTATGTACCATTATTACCTAGCCTCAAAACCTAACATTTGTCTGCATTAAACTGCATCTGGCAATCTTTACCATTTCAAAACTCTTTAGATACTTAAGTGATGGCAAGCATTTATTTCTTTTCCCATTTTTTTTTATTTTGCAATTCTGCAATTATTCCTGCTCAAATCTTCAACCGAGGTCCCAGGAGAGCCTTGATGCACTACTTTCAACAGTCCCTTTACCATTTATACTAACCATTATACTAACCATTTATACTAGCCATGCCCTAAACTTTATACAACACTCCCAATATTGAGTGCTCCTTTTATTCAATTTTTCCATGTGGCACTATCAAAAAACCTTTGCTAAAGTCAAGGTACACATCACAAACGTTATCACTATGTTGCCTCAACTATGCAAGTGTTAAATCAAAGTGATTTGTAAAACTAAGCAATTCATGTATCAAGTTAAGTTTTACCCAAGCTAAATCTATATTTACAAATATTTGTATTAAAGTAACTTTACCACAATAGATTTAAGCCAATTGCCATAACTTGACAAGGTAATTTACTTGTAATTACACAATTTATCCCCCCTCCACCTTTATATCACTATCGATACCCATCAAATCTCAAAACACCCTTAAATTGGTTATTAGCACAAATGACTTACAAAACCGCGCTTAAATACACATTAGACTCTCGTAACTTACCGGCTGGTCAGCCACACCCGGACACATCCTCCCCCAACACAATTCAAACAGTTACTACTGACCTCCGCTCGCAACAAGCCACACATCACTTACGGTGTCCAGAAACATATATAGACTAGCAACTGACCCTAACACATATTGATCATAGCGTAACGCGGGGTTAATGTGTAGTGCTGCTGTCAAAACATAGATGGCGCTCACCCTAATGGTCATGCTAATGGATATGCCTCTGTAACCCTTATTTGTGTAAAGGAGGAAATGTATATGTTTATCTCTCAGAATGTTCGGTAATACGTTTATTGCTTGTGATGTGTGTCTATGTATGTATTAACACTATGTACTGAACGGGGTGAGAATAGCTTGAGCTACCTAAAGCCTATTTCGGGTCCATAGAATTACCCCAATCGCCCAAATCAGGCCAAAACTACCCAAATCGTATTAGCATTACGTAAGTAATGAAGAAATATGGTATATTTACTTACTATAATGTTGGTGCTACACGTAGAACATGATCAAACCTATTTTTACTCTGAAATAATCTAATTTCATAACGAAATGAGACGTAAATATGTGAGAGGTGACGCCATAGGAAGTCGACGGTCCAAGCGACAATTGTGTGGAGCGACTTATCCAAGATATATGGTCGCTTGGAGAGTGTTTGCTGCCATAACAGCCTCCTGTACACAGTGATCCAGTCGTCGTATTTCATGGCTCAAATTGTCGCAAATTTAATTGGTAATATTAACAAGTAGAATGTGTATTTATAATAATATTTTTCATAAACAGCCACAAAATATTTAATATTTATTAAAAAAAAGTGTTTGGAAGTTAAATCAATTCCACATGACAATAAATTTGTTATATAGATACTAGCGTTATTCGTTGGTATGCGTTCGCTATTTAAACTACTCCAGTCCTTTTCGTTCATAGAACACCGAACCCTACACGCTCTCTGATATATTGCTTAATTAACAAATATTCACAAATAAAGATTATATTTATATGTTATCAGAAAATCAGATATAAAATAGTTTGTGTTAATGCATCACAGAGATTATACCTTATTAGAGAGGAAAAATATTCATATTTTAAACAAGGCTTCTTGGCCGACGCTCTCCCTTTCGATGGGAACTATGACCTTTTGAAAATCAATGTTAATTGAATCTATATATTGTAAAAAACGAAGTTTTTTATGTCATCAGAAAGACATATAAGCTGCATGTTAATACTTTGGTATAAATATAACTGAAGTGAAAGTGAAGATATATGCCTTTTTATAGTTACTTGATGGCTCGCTCAGGGAGTGTGAAGGCCTGCACACAAGCCAATCAATTTTATAATTAATATACATATATGCAAAGTAACGTCAAAGGTTTTTATTTCAGAATAAAGACAGATGTAGACGATAATGTAAATACATTTCAAGGAAAACATATCTTAAATGAAAGCAAAGATATGGTCAAATAAATAGGCAATACCACACCATCGCCAGTGTCCGAACACATGAATATTCGCATTAGGTAGGTGAAAGGAAATGTACCCAACCATTTCCATTTACGCGACCAGTTTCCGTTCTTATGTTCTTGCTTACATTTATTGAAATTTATCATCATCATCATTTACAGAAATAAATTAACATAAAAATGTAGTAATTTTAATACACAAAACAGAAGTAGATATGTATGTAAATTATGACGCAGGATAGGATCACTATTGCAGAACTATTCGCATACTTTGCGTCATTATATACAGTACTGGAATTTAAAAAAAATCGCGGAATTCAGAGATAACACCATCATTGGTGTCCAAGAAAAGTGTAAGTACTTCATTTATAATGATGTGCTGCCCGAAATCTTAGCGAAGTATCTAAAATTTGCTTACTGTAAGTAATTCATGCAAATGATTGTAAAGCCGTCGCCCAGTTGGTTGGGTGTGGAGCACATGACTGTTAAACTGCCGCCCAGTTGGATGGGTGTGGAGCACATGACTGTTAAGCTGCCGCCCAGTTGGGTGGGTGTGGAGCACATGACTGTAAAGCTGCCGCCCATTTGGGTGGGTGTGGAGCACATGACTTAAGCTGCCGCCCAGTTGGGTGGGTGTGGAGCACATGACTGTTAAGCTGCCGCCCAGTTGGGTGGGTGTTGAGCACATGACTGTTAAGCTGCCGCCCAGTTGGGTGGGTGTGGAGCACATGACTGTTAAGCTGCCGCCCAGTTGGGTGGGTGTGGAGCACATGACTGTTAAGCTGCCGCCCAGTTGGGTGGGTGTGGACCACATGACTGTAAAGCTGCCGCCCAGTTGGGTGGGTGTGGACCACATGACTGTTAAGCTGCCGCCCAGTTGGGTGGGTGTGGAGCACATGACTGTAAAGCTGCCGCCCAGTTGGGTGGGTGTGGAGCACATGACTGTTAAGCTGCCGCCCAGTTGGGTGGGTGTGGACCACATGACTGTTAAGCTGCCGCCCAGTTGGGTGGGTGTGGACCACATGACTGTAAAGCTGCCGCCCAGTTGGGTGGGTGTGGAGCACATGACTGTTAAGCTGCCGTCCAGTTGGGTGGGTGTGGAGCACATGACTGTTAAGCTGCCGTCCAGTTGGGTGGGTGTGGAGCACATGACTGTAAAGCTGCCGCCCAGTTGGGTGGGTGTGGAGCACATGACTGTTAAGCTGCCGTCCAGTTGGGTGGGTGTGGAGCACATGACTGTAAAGCTGCCGCCCAGTTGGGTGGGTGTGGAGCACATGACTGTTAAGCTGCCGTCCAGTTGGGTGGGTGTGGAGCACATGACTGTAAAGCTGCCGCCCAGTTGGGTGGGTGTGGAGCACATGACTGTTAAGCTGCCGTCCAGTTGGGTGGGTGTAGAGCAAGACTAGTAATTGGACGACTCACCATAGATGTAAAGTGCCTAGTATAGTGACTTGTGAGCCTCTTGTTGAATCATTTGTGATACAAAGATTATTGATGTGTGTATTTGTGTGGGAGATTGAATATGTATGTGAATGTATATGTATGTATATGTATATATGCAATTGACGATCACGAAACAATAATCATTTGTATGCGGAAAATTCCATATTTCATTTCTGTGGATTTACCGCATATGTATATATATGTACATGTATGTATGATTATGTGTACATGTATATATAACATTAATAAGAGGAAATGAAGATGAAGAAATGATAAAAAGAATGGCAATAGTGGATAGTAGTAACACACTTAAGAATTATTCAGTAATAAATACAAACTCGTCCTTCACCTATGATAAAGGAAAGTCAACTTGGAAGGATTCAATTTACATGAGATTAAGATTAGGATACAAATATATCTGGCAATACGGAGTTGATGTCAGTGAAAAAGATAAGGAGTGTAAATTATGTAGTATGCCGCACGCCCACACCTTAGAACATTATGTATTAGAGTGTCACCTTATTGATAACTATAGAAATAAGGAAATAAGTAATGTACCACATCAAATTGTTTGTATGTGTGATAATGGTATGATAGACAGTATACTTAGGAGCTACAAGAATTTTGCCCCAAGAGTGTAACAATTGTATGCTGTGCTTACTATATTAACCTGCAATGTTAAATGGGATTCTTGTAATGTTAATTGTCTATTTGTACTTACTGAATTTGTGCGCCCCTTGAGGGACTTGAAGTAGAGGGGGTAGAAATAGCCTAAGTTACTCTATCCCTTTGAGATGTATTTTTTTCTTGTCTCAATAAACATACTTGAACTTGAACTGTAAATATTTGTGGCTTCCTGGCCATAAAGTTACCGCCGCAGTCGAGGGTAAGAGACCGGATGTACCCAGTATACAAGCCGCACTAGCTATTAGTTCATATAAGCTGACAACTTACCCAGATAAACATTACTTCCTAATTATATATATATGCAAATAATACAATTAAAATGTTTAAAACGTAATTATATATATGTATCATGTGGACAGTTTTTAATGTAATTTTTTCTCCTGATATTCGGGTTCTTTATTATGCTTCATCTTGAGGCAAAGCCCAATACCTTACGCCATATTGATGCTCTGTCCACAGATCATTCTCTCTCTCTCTCTCAAATCATATACATTGATGGTTTCCTACACTGCCACACGGGTGCAGCTGCAAGTGCAGTTGCCTCTACCCATCAGACAGAACTATTTGCCTTGCTTGTTACACTAAAATGTGTACAAGTGTGTGTGTCTATGTATGTATTAACACGATGTACTGAACGGGGTGAGAATAGCTTGAGCTACCTCATCCATTTGTGTGTATTTTACCTCAATAAACTTATTTCAATTTCAATTTCAATTCAAGTCTCCAAACTTGATGCATTAATTGTAAGTGATTTTCTACCATCCTGCATTAATTTTAAGTGATTTCTATCATGCTTAATTGCGCGCAACTCTCTAAGACACAATTGTAACATGACCGTGTCTGAAGCTAGACAGAAAACACAACATTATTAGTGATGGTAACATAAACCATTTCATGTGAATTCCATCTTCGTTGACCTCCGAAACTTGAGGAATGGTCCAGAAAATAGCTACTAAAGTTTAAGTCAAGTGTGAAGATACTTTAGTTGATACTTAGATACTTCCAATAAGTGTAAACATAAGTGCTGACGATGCTACCTTCCTCTATTCAGACCCCAACCCAAACGCACTATATAATAATGAAAATAATAGATTTAAAAAGTCCACTCATGGATGTAAACTAACAAACTCACATCAAACATAAAAAAGACCGACTACTATTTTTGTTCGAAAGTAAATCCTGAAACCAAATTCAACTTCAGATACACAATGTTAACATTAGCAATAATGATTATGGAAAGTTCCTTGACCTATACATAGACAAGAGACTGAACTTCAGCATCCACATACAACACATATGTGAGTGGTGAGAGAGAGAGAAAGAGAGAGAGAGAGAGACAGACAGAGAGAGAGACAGACAGAGAGAGAGAGAGAGACAGAGAGAGAGAGAGTGAGAGAGTATTCACCTAGTTGTGTCGGCGCGGGTTGAGCTCTGCTCATTCGGCCCGCCTCTCAACTGTCAATCAACTATTACTGACTAACTAATTTTTTTCTCTCGCACACACACACACACACACACACACACACACACACACA